TGCTGGTGGGCGGGGCGTGGAGCCGCGACGGCGTCTGCGCACGGCGTCGGGGAGGGCGAGCGGAGCAAGAAGAGGGTCCTGGGGGCGCACGGAGGGCCCTGCGAAGAGGAATACTGGCTTTGGCGCCCCGTGTGGTGGGAGGATTGAGCAGGGACGGCGGCCTGGCAGCCTGTAGCCTGGGAGGGAGTCTCCTCGCAGGAGGATGGGCCAGGCCAGGGGTCTGATTGGAAACCGGGTGTCTCGCACCCCGATCTTTCAGATCTTACACCTGGCTCGTTTGCTGCCCTGCTAGCTGGAAGGTGCCCTAGCATCTCTTGGGTTTCAGCAACACGTGTTAAATTTGCAGCCTTAAAGGAAGACCTTATCTTTGAAGCCGAGCCAGTAACATTTAATTCCTGAGGCTGTTGTGTCGATGAAATGAGATAGTGTTAGGTGGGACCTATGAAATTGCCACTTTCATAGGATCTAAGTAGTCAAATACCAGCGATTTCTTTTCTTTTTTAGTTGCCAGAGAGTACACGTGCTTGCCGGAAAAAGACAGAAAGAGGAGGGGAGAAAGCCCGCCCCACAATTGGAGTGTGGTCACAGGGTAATCCCTTTTCCTCCCATTCTCCATCCTTTCGGGATTTGGGGAGCATGCCAGGCATGTGTCCCATGCTTCCAATACTAGGATTGGAACCACGGTCAGCCACACGGGATCTGGCCTCCATACCTACTGTGATAGGAGTGGGTCCTCTGGCATGATTGTTGGTTCTGGTGGACTGGCCTCCTGTCTTTTCAGCCTGTTGTCCAAACCTGGGTCTCCTGTCTGGCAGTCCCTTACTCACTCAGCGCCCTTTCAACACAAGGTTTCCGTTTAAATCAGCCCGAGTGACGCAGCTGTAGGCCAGGACCCTCTACGTGAGTTTCCCACCTTTTGAACAACCCCTCTTGTCCCAGTCAAACCCACCTAACTCCCCTCACTTTGCACCTTTCATGTTCCTGTTCACTGTACGTAAGACTTGTTCAGAGAAGCATGGTCGACTTCCCTCGCCATTTAAACGATTTCAGCTTATCTCTTTTTTTTTTTTTTGGAGGGGGTGTTTGTTATAGGGCGCGTGCACTTGCCAGAAAGAAAGAGACAGAGAGACAGAAAGCAAGAAAGCACCCCCTGGGGGATGGCCAAGCTGCAATCCCTTCTCCTCCATTCTCCTCTCGGGATCTTGGGCACACAGGCATATGCACTGAGCATGAGTTTAAGCCACCAGGTCCAGGACTCGAACCACGGTCGACTACATGGGAGTCCAGCGACATAGCCATTACGCTAACTGCTGGTCCCTCAGTTCACCTCTTAAACGTCTCATATTTTATCTCCTAAAGAAGTCTTAGGTAACCCTTTCTTTGTACAGTATTCCTACCCCCCTACAGCTGTACTAGCCTTCTGAGTGGACACCTTACCCCAGTGTCTACTCCTCCCATCTACCCTCCACTGAAATGCCTGGGGAAAGCTTCCTTTTCTTTTCAGTTCTTTTCTTTCTTTCTTCTTTCTTCTTTCTTTCTTTTACGAGATTTTTGCTATAGGGCATGTGTGTTTGCCAGAGAGACAGAGAGAGGGAGAAAGAAAGAAAGGGAGAAATCACCCCCCAGGGGAGATGGCCATGCCACAATCCCTTCTCCTCCAGTTTCCTCTCAGGATGTTGGGCATGCACACAAATACACCCTGTGTGAGTTTCAAACCACCAGGTCCGGGATTTGAACTGCGGTAGACTGTATGGGAGTTCAGTGAGCTAACTGTTCATCGGGCCAGACAGGAGGTTCCATCTCCCTGACCAAAGCAATCCTTTGGGGTATGGGATCGTGACCTACAGAGAACCACTCAGTCTTCCCCTCCAACCTCTCCTGCCTTTGAGCCGCGGGGCTGAGAAGCTATGAGATGGAAACTGTGGGCAACCAGCTCTCTGCCACGTGGTGGCACAGCGAACGGGCCGCGGTGTAAAGAGAAGAGGGCACCGAGAAATGGAGCGAGAGCGGCCTGAGGACATTTGCGCTCCTGAAATCGCTCCCCGCAGGCCAGTGGTACTGCTGCACTTCTCCAGTCCCCCTGCTTCACGCCAGGCCGAGTCGGTTCCTATCCCTAACACAGAGATGGAGTGGAGTGAGCTGGCAGCACTCGAGGGTGTGGCACTGGTGGAACCAGAATGAAATGGAGGCGACAGGGACCTGACCTTGCGGCTGGGAGACTGGAAATCTCTGTCATTTCATCTCAGATCAGATGGTCCCACGATCATCTGTTCTGTCTTGAGATTTGAGTCACGCCTCCACCCAAGATGGACGTGTCAGATGCATGGGAAGCTCGCCTGGCTGCTGGCGTGTGTTGGGCTCCCCGGAGGTCCGCTTTCCTCCCTCCATGCAGGTGGAGTCAGAACCGGGCACCGTCTCGCTCAGCGACACCTCTCCTACCTTTGGCCCGTGACCCTTCCAGCCCTGGGTCGGACGGCCGTATGTCTTGTAGACTAGGACAGCCCAGGCTTGCTCCCAGGCGCAGTGAGAGAAAGGTGCACAGGTCAGGAATCCAGCAGGACACATTGGAGCCTGCCTGCAGAGCTCCAGGAGAGAAATGGGAATCCTGATCCTCTACACCATTCCTGAATGCTTCCCCCGGAAAAATAAATGAACAAGAGGGGCAGCAGGTGGTGTGGTGGTTAAGGGCACTGGACTCCCACCGGGCCCACCGCGGTTAGAGTCCTGGGCCGGGCGGCTACTTCCTCATTTTCTCTCTCTCACTCTGTCCCTCTCTGGTCAATTAAAATAAAGTGAAATAAAATAATTCTTGTTTAAAAACCTGAAAAACAATGGAATTGCTTGGAATTCAGAGAGTGGTAGGGTTTCTGGTGCCTGGGGACTTGGGGGACGAGCCCTGTGGAGGGTGGGGAGGCATGGGGAGTGCACCTTCTCCCTTCTCTCTTGGTTGGCACCCCTGTCTTTCCCAAGTAGCCCTCCACATCCACATCTGTGGTAGCAATGCCGCACGACAGGATGAAGGTCGAAGACTCGGCCCACAGACCCCAAGTTCTGGGCTGGGCTCCCCAAGTCAGTTTCAACTGACAGACTCCCTTCAGGAGTCCTTTGGTAATGCAGCCTCAGTGTAATGATGAGCCATGCCAGAGGGGTGGAGCAAGCTGCAGGGTGCTGGCCACGATGGAGCCTACCTGCTTCCTTACTCCCGTCCGAAGCATCTCCTTGGGGCCCAGGTCCAAGAGCTGGTACCACTGGGATTTTGTCTGTCTGGTTGGCGCCAAGATCACTGGAACATGGTCCTCCCACCCCAGCGTGACTCTCTGCACTCCCACCCAGTAGCTCACGCTAAGTGACCTTGGCTGCAGCCGCATAGACAAAATTCCCGAGTGGGACCAGCTAAGGACTAGGTCGTCTTTCTTTGGAGACAACGAACAGAATCAGATCAACTCGCTACCATAGACACGCCGCTATGGAAGCCACGAAGCTGAGGTCAAAGCGTGACCTCTTACTACGAGGCAGGGACCACGAGGGCCAGATGAAGACTTCAGGGACAGGGCTCAACAGTACTCCAGGTGGACTAGCACAGAGGACTCAGGAGTCAGAGACCCCTCACACCTGGCAAGCTGCGATCTGAAGCTCTCTCAGCTCCAAGGATGTCTTTAGGCCCAAATCCAGGTCAAAGGGGAAGGGGAAGTCTTCGGTTCCTGAGGGCCATCCTCCCACAGAGGTCCTTAAAGGACAATGGATAAAAGAGAGATTTCCCAGCAGAAAGGACCAACAACATTTTTTTTTTTTAAGAGAGAGAGATTTTTGCTATAGGGCACATGTGCTTGCAGACAGAAAGCAAAAAATCAACCCCCCAGGAGGAATCGCCACACCACAATTCCTTCTCCTCCAGTTTCCTCTCGGGATTTTGGGCATGCACACACACACGCCCAGTGTGTTTGAAGCTGCCAGGTGTGGGACTTGAACCGTGGTCGGCCATATGTGAGTCCGGTGATATAACTGCCCGGGGGCCATCTTCTGGTCCTGAGCATTTGGTTTTGTTGCTCAAGAAACTCACTCCACCGTGCAGAAGGATGGATATGTTGTAGGCTGGAGACTACTGATCATTGTCTCCTCTTTCCTCCTGTTCCAAACATTTTTTAATTATTAAATTTTTAAATTTATTATTATTATTATTATTTTAAAAAATGTTCTCACCAGAGGCCAGCAAGCGGCGTGGTGGTAAAGGGCACTGGACTCTCTCACTCTCTCTCTTTCTCCCCACCCCTTCTGGTCAAAGTGGATAAATAAATAAATAAATAAAATATTCTCACCAGAGAGAGACAGGGAGAGTGAGAGGGAAACAAGAAAACAAGGCAGCAGGCCCAGGACTCAAACCACGATCGCCCATATAGGAGTCCAGCCCGTAAATGCCGCACCACCTGCTGGCCCCCCCATGCCAGAGAGAACCTGGATTGGGGTTCAGTAAAGAAACTGGACATGATGTGTCCCTCACTGGGAAGAAGGTGTGTTTTTGTTTGGGCCGAGGACATTTTGAAATTGTGTGTATGAAAGTATGGAGGTGCACAGGGTGGGCTATGCCATGCGACGCCGTGCTGCTCATCCGCCCACCTTCCCTTCCTTAGGCGCTCGCTCCCCCCCTTCCACAGTGAGCCCCGCCGGCTCATCCTCCCAGCCTAGAGGGAGGCACATGTGCACAGCTGCCCGAAGTCCTCCCACCAGTCGAGAGCTAGAACTAGTGAAGCCGATGAATAGAACGCATTGCCAAGACTTGGCCACACGATGACTGAATCTCTAGACCCAGCCATGCCTGAAGGCAGATACATCCTCTGATTGGTCAGTTCTTTGGGGGCTCAGAAGAATCATGACGCATCTTTGCATAGAAAAATGCAGTGACCTGCCCAGTGACCCTACGCCAGTCGATTAATTTCTTATTGGCTTAAAGCTGTTAAAGTTGGGTTGACACTTGCAATGGAAAAGACCCAGACCAGTGTGTGTATAAAGACACGCACACACCATGTCATCCAAACGCTCCGGATGTTACACGGGTCTTCCCTGGTCTTGCGCGGCGTCAGCAAACTTTGGGTAAACAACCAGATAAACTGTGGGCTCCATACGGTCTCTGTCTCGTGTTCTTTTCTCCAATCTTGTTTTGCTTTTTACACCTTTACAAATGTAAAAGTTATTCTTGGTTTGTAGATCATACAAAGATAAGCCATCAGAGTTTTCAAGCCCCTGACCTAGACCAGCTCAACTCCTGGAGCTTTGGAGTTACACGCCCTTCCATATATTTAACATATATATAAGATTTGCCAGAGTTTGTGTGCACTTGAGAGACAGAAAGAGGGGAAGAAGGAGCAGCGCTTTCCCGTGGGATGGTCTGGTCGCACTCCCTTCCTCCCCATCGCCTCCCCATCGCGCACAGAAGCACCTGCTGGGGTTTTCGAGCTGCTGGTGCCAGGACTCAAGCTGCATGTTGGCCATGTGGGTTCTGACTCGTTTAACCATCAGGACGTGGGGCTGCCCCATGAAGCCCCATCGCGCACAGCACCTGCTGGGGTTTTTGAGCTGCTGGTGCCAGGACTCAAGCTCTCAAGCTGCATGTTGGCCATGTGGGTTCTGACTCATTTAACCATCAGGACGTGGGGCTGCCCCATGAAGAAAAGCACTTCAAATCCATTTTGGTCCAAGTACCTTGCCCTGACTGGGAGAGTTAAGGTACAGAGAGTCAGGAATGCGAAAAGGCCTCGACCTGCCCCATGACCTGCCCCATGATAGGTCATCATGACTGTTTCTTGGGCGCTAAGATGATTTTTCAGGTTCATATAGATGTCCAAATGCCCGGTTCACCCTCGCAGTCCCTTCCACTCCTCCATCCCCTCCAGGAAGCCTCACTTCCAGGCCCGCTCCCCCGACACTGGTAAAGCTTGGCCCAGGCGCTGTGTGGCCCTCCACTGTCACTGCCCTACCGGCCTGTCTTCCTTCTTGCCTCGGTGTGTTTGCAGGTGCCCACACTAGCGCCTGGCGCAGTGCTCAGGCCACGCCTCCGGGAAGACATCCACTAGCATGTGTAGTGCTGAGTGTGTCTGCGCGCCGTCGGTCCGTCTCTGCCAGCACCGCGTCTGCGCGCATTACTTGGCCCTGGGCCCTCGCGCGGCCGCCCACTGGCGCATGCCCTGGAGCTGCCCTGGTCCCCGGACTGCTTAGGTACCAGCTCTGCATTCCCACTCCCTTCACAAATGAGGCGCAGACAGAGGAACGGATGGGAACAAGTTTTCTTAGAAACTGTCTTGCAGGAGGAACCCTCCAGCCCCACCCCCACATCCTCTGCTGTCTGGCGTGACCACGAGCCTCCATCCTCAGCCACGCCTGGGGACGAGGCCTCAGACTGGGCGGACCATCTGTGAGGTGGGGGCCGTCCTCCTGGGGAGTGTGGCCCAGGAAAGGTTGGCCCAGGCAAGGTGGGTCATGGCGTCTACGCTGCGTCTTCGTCTATCTCACAGAAGCAGGCAGGAAGCACCACCATTGATCAGCTTTTATGGCACCCACTGGATACAACAGACAGACCGAGACAGACGGACAGAGCACACACCACGTCTAAGCCGAGCACGGCTCACCACCTAAAGCACCTTGGGTAAGCACACGTGAGACACCCTTGCATAGGAAAGATGCACTTGTTAAAGGAATGAAGAAGTATTTTGCAGAACATCTACGTCCCTCCCAGGCCCGGGGCACAGAGGGACCTCTAACTCTGAAGCTTCTACGTGTTGAGGGTCACCCAATGGCAGTATATACAGTAGCAGACCTCTGAGTCTGTCGTCGTAGCCCTCTAGCATCTCCAGATCAACTTGACAGGTGGGCCAACTGAGACTAAGAGACAGAAGGTGGCCTGGAGTGAGGGGACACGGGTGGCTCGAGGGGAGGGACACAGGAGGTGACTTGGCTCAGCCAAAGGCAGGACCGTCTATCCAGCTGGGAAGGCAAAGCTCAGGTGGCCAACACCCCCCTTCCCGCCTGCCTGGGAAGCAGTGGTCCCATGGGGAAGGCTGGAACAGGAAAGGCGGGTTCCCGCCCCATGGCCAGGGCACCACACTGGGCAGCAGAGGCCAGCGCCGGCCGGGCTCCTCCTGGGGCCTCTTGGGAACGCTATCCAAGTCGGGGTTTGGACTGTGGGCTCACTGCTTCCGTTCCTCTTCTGTTAGCTGAGCATCGGCCACAACCTCACGTCTTTCATTACTCTTAAAAGGGCAGGCTTGAGGAGTGGTTTGAGGGAGACTGAGACACACAATCGCCCACAGCCCCCTTGCCTCGGCTGCAGGAGCAAAGTTCTCCTTCACCCTGTCTCCTAGGGATATTTAAAGGCAGCTTTTACAAGACTCCATACTGTCTTTTTTGTTTCTCTTGTATCTTTTGTTTGTTTTCTGTCTTTGTTCCTTTGTTTTAGTTTATATAGATATATATTTATATATATTCTTACAAAAGCAATAGTCCTTTGGTCCCTAAACTCTACGGAATGATATGATTTTGAAAGAAGTAGATCTGGGCTTCCCTGCAGAGAAGCCCTTGGCACCCCCAGGCCCCCTGCGGGTCGCCCCGTCCATCTCAGCCAGCCCTCGCCGCCCTGCGAGCTGGAGCTCTGAGCGCGGGTGCAGAGCCACGTGGGGTAAGACAGTCCTCAGAGTGGCCTGAGCGCCAGCGTGGGCCGTGGCCCGGCCCGCCTCCGTCTGAAGCTGCTCCTTCCGGAAGGGCTGCGCAAGGTTTCTGTGCTTCTCCTTCCCTTTCTTCTCACTCTTCAGTTGCTGTCGTTGGGTGTCAGTGGTCAGGACAGAGGGCAGAGACAGAAGGCAAACGTCAGCTGGAGGGCCGGACGGCGGAGCAACTGCCCACCTGTGGCCTGTCCTGAGGAGCAGAGCTGTGGCCCACAGAGGCACAGGGTCCTGGCAGACAGCCCCAGCCCAGTGCCCCAGATGAGGGCTCCTGGGGAGCTCGCTGAGGCAGTGCCACATGGGCATCTGAGACAGCCAGTCCCTAAGTGGTACATGTGTATCCTGTGGTCCCGAGGCCCTCCCAGAAACCCAGAGGAACTAGTGGTGTCCCTCCTGTCACCCAGCGGGCCCTGCACATCCTACTTTAGCAGACGGGCTCTCTCCCCTCGGCTCCGTGGTCATAATCTCAGCCCTCGCTTCTTGCCCCTTCTTTGCTTAAAGTCCTCAGCGAGTCTCCGGTGTCTTCAGGATCAGGTTCAAACTCGGGGCCTGTCAGACCCGAGCTACTTTCTTAGTCTCCTCTTCCAGCGCCCCGCCCTCCCACACACGGGCTCTCTGCCCTGTGGCCCTGTGGCCATCTCTGCAGTGGGACCGGTGTTAGTCTCGTGTTCAGTCTCCTGACCCTCACACACGGGCTCTCTGCCCTGGAGCCACTGTGGCCGTCTCTGGAGTAAAGCTGGCTGCATCCTTTTGTGATCCCCTCTCTCGGGCCCCGGGGGCAGAAACGGTGTCTAATTCATCTCAGTTCTTAGATGGAAGGAAAAGCACGGCCCCCATCGGGCTTCCTCAGGCTCCTGCCTCTGCTCTCTGCCCCAGACATGCTCAGAGAGCAGTGCCCTCCACATCCCAAAGGGCACCGAAGCTGGGAGCAGCTGGTCACTCAGCCCCACCTGCCTGGGGTCCTCCGGGGACTCACCTTTCTGTGGCTGGTCAGCCAGAGATCAGTAAGGCCGGCTGGCATCCTTGGGCCTCTTGAGCTGTACCTTGAGCCTCTTCATGCCGATCTGAAAGCCATTCATGGCCTGAATAGCGGTCTGGGCGCTGGTCGGATTGTCGAAACTAACGAAGCCTGGGGTGTGAGCAGAGGGGTTAGCTGGGTCCCTGCCTGCGTGGCCTCCTCTCTCTGACCAGCCCGTTGGGCCCCCCCCATCACCCATATGTCCCTCCGCTGTCTGAGCACGCACACACGTGACACGCAGATACAAGCTCACACAGCCATGGCGAGTGGGCTGAGACTGACGTGTGAGTGTCTGTGTGGGGGCAGGGGGCTCGTGAGGCATTTCCTCCAGCGGGCTGGCTGGCCCCCTCCACAGCTCCCATGTGGGTCCCCAGAACTGCAGTTGGAGTTGGGGGGACTCTCTGGTCCCAGACCCTGACTCCTGCCCTGGCCAGACTCCAAAGTCTTATTCAGACACATCCCAGACACCTGGCCTTCCTGGACGAGCCTGAAATGATGCGATCTTAGGGTGTGCGAGGACCCCACAGTCAGAACAGGGGCTCAGCTCACCGAAACACTTGCTCTGGTTGGTGGCTCGATCCACAAAGACTTTGGCAGAGACCACGGCTCCGAAGGGCAGGAATGTCTGTGTGAGTTCTGCGTCACCAAACTCCTGAGGCAGGTGATAGATGAAGAGGTTACAGCCTTCGGGGCCTGCAGAACAGTAGCAGGCTGGTTCAGGGGGGACCTCAGTGCAGCCCCACCAGGCCCTGGTCTCCAGCCCCCAGCCCCTCACCTTCTCTTTGCTGCTGGGGTAGGGCTGACGGCTGCTGGGGACAAGCTGTGCTCACCGGGGCATAGGCCGATGGGTAGGCTGCTGGAGACACAGGCAGCGCCGTCAGTGACCCCACGGCCATCCCCACCCGGCCCCATCTGCCTGGCTACCTTGGAGCAGTTCGGCCTAGTTCACCATGACCCTTGCCCCAAGAGAGGATGCTGGGGAGTCAGGGAACAGGAGGGTTGAGGCCTCGGGAAAGCCTAACCCCGTAAGTCTTCCTGTTCCTTCCTGGGGCCCTCCACTCCCCAGGCCATGCAGCGCAAGTGAAACCTGCATGGTGGTGCATCCCCGGGAAGGCCTGCTGCAGGGGGTCAGCCACGCCGGCGCCCTGGGCTGGGGAGAGAGGGGCACAGGCTCCGGAGTGGGAGGTAGGGGCAGCTGTGAGGGCCAGAAGAGGAGCAACCCTCCCAGGAGACTGGCCCTGTCCCACCCCACTTCAGGGAAATCTGGGCGGAGCTGGGGCCCACCTGGATAAGGGGAAAGCCCGTTACTGTAGAGCGGGTCCGCGCCAGGCTGCCCGTTGGTCTGGGGGGCCAGGGGGCCAAATCCGTTGACCCCAATGGGCGCTGGAAGGCCAGGAAGCGTGCCAGGGCCGCCGGGTGGGGAGGTGGCAGCTGGGGGTGGCAGAGGTCCAAGTGAGGAGGTGGCAGTCGGCCCCTCCCCTCCCGGTCCGCGTCCA